CCAATATGCGTCCTATTCGGTATCACGGTCTGAATGGATGGTCAGCATGTGATAACAAGGCAGAGCTATCCACGCCGCGTAAAGCGCCAACTCACCAACCCCCATACAATCATGACAATCATGTACGTAGATAGCTGTAAAGGAGGGCGAAGACGACCTCAAGGGATCCGGCTGTAGCTATGACTTGCAGCTTAAACGAATATTTAAGGCCATCAAGCTCCCCCCTTTTTGATAGCTCGATAGCAACATCATCATCGTACAACAATAACAACAACAAGACCTCAAACACCAAAGCGATCTTTACTATTTTCATAAGCCTTAGCTTAACCCAACCCACAACCCACCAACATTCAAAATGGAGCCCGCTACTTGTGGATGCGCTACTTGCTCTTGCGCTGACTGGTAAGCTTCCGGTCCCCTTCAAATACTTCCATCGCCTTTTGAAGCTTGAAGATTGAAGCTAACGTATACAACTATAGCAACTCCTGCTCTTGCTGCGTAAGTAGTTGCTGACGAGCTCTCGAAAAGACCCTTCTCATATACTTACATCTTTTTCCTAGTCTCACTAAACTGTAACAACATTCGATCCGACCAACATGGCTCAGGAGAGATAATAAGGAGGAATATGCGGATAAGGGAGAGACATATACATTAAGGAAGACAGTCTTTACTTTGTACAGCTGCAGGGCTCGTCGTCAGGGCTCGTCGTGTCTGGTAGCAGATTTATAACCAGTTGCGTCGCACGAGAAATATACACTCCTTGAAAAACCATTGTTCTATCATGCTTGCATATGGGTATCATTATGCCAACCATCTTCCAACGCCGTTTATGCCGCATACCATATGCTATATGCTATATGCTATATGCCATCATATGCTCTATGCCATCGCTCATTACTTCATTCTTTCGACGGTGCCCAATTGATAAGCCAGCCCCTTGCCATATCCAGATTAGCACCCTCAGCTTCGCAAGCTGCAATGCACCATTCTAGATCCCAATCATCTTCGGCTGCCAACATCTCGGCCAACTTCCTTCTACGTTGGTTTGCTTCGTCAACACAAAAGTACATAGGTGTCTGTATATCACGGACCGACTCTACAAGAGGTTTGATCTGGGGTAGCGCAAGTTGCGCGGTGGACGGTTTAGGCTCTATCTTCAAGTTTGCGCGACCTGTCTTACACCACTCGTTGGCACACCACCTTTTCCCGCAGCCCTGCATCATCTGCGTCAAGTATCGACGCTCGATACGTCGTTTCAGAGCCTTGCCCTCGGGGTCGTACAAGCTCACATAGAGTGGCGAGAAGCACAACGAACATAATCCGATGTCATTCCCGGGACCTTGGCCCATTTTGGTGCCGGCATTAACAGCACCATTCTTGCCAACACCATGCTGGGTCCGTCCGCAATTAGCATTCCGGCAGATAGGAGGCTTCAGTCGGTGCGCCTTCTCTAATTCGTGGTATTTTAAATGGGTTGACATATCGCGTAGCCTGATTATCTTTGAGCACAGATGACAATCCGTAGTCCTCGCGCCGTCGACAAGCTCGTGCTCCGTGAGTCCCGTGTGAAGCATCTCCGGGGATGGGTTGAACGGGTCGCCTTCTTGGCAAACCTCGAGATGGCAGAATTCGCATAGAATGATCTTGCCGGGACAGAGGGTGGTGCGATGACGCGCGAGGTCGGGAATAGAATTGGTCGAGAACGGACAGGATGGACATTGTCGCTCGGTATGGTAAATGGCATCATGCTTCGCTTTCGTCATGTCCGAGGAGCCATGTGCTTCGTCGTGGGGGCAATGCCAGTGATTCTTCCATTCGTCTGACGTCTTTTGGAAGACATTATGACACTGGGGACACGAGATGTTGTTACGAAGGCAAAAGTTCTCATGCAGAGTGATGGTGCGTTTAGGAACCCACTGAAGACAATTCTTACATTGTTCTTCATCCGGAGATCTCTCTTGTAGTTCCGCATCCATCGAACCGGGTGTTGCGGCTCTTTCTACCGTCATCGCGTTCTTAATCCTCAACTTAAACGGCCGAGGGGAGAGATCAGTTGGCTCAGTGGATGTCGACTCGGGCAAATATCCGTGGACTGAGATAAGCACACTTTCGGCGTTCTCGAGTTCGACATTGGTAGGTTCAATGGATATGCGCTTACTGCCGTCCTGCGTATAGTTGAAGGCACCGAATACATGCTCTGATTGGCGAGGTAGCGCCCTCTGTCGCGTGGATTTGGGGCTTACAAACAGGTCTACGCCGTACTCGTCTTCCAGCTCGCTAATCTCAATTTCGAGAATTCTCGATCGAGCCCACGAGGGTAGCTCATAGTCTACGTAATCCCCAGGGAGAACTTGGCCGCTAACAGACTTCCAGATATTGAGCTCTTGGCCGACTGAACTACCACCGGAGGTCCCGGGTGCCCTCTGCTGCTTAGCCATGATCCGTCTCATAGTTTCTCTCGCCTGTTCCTCGTCTAGGGCCTCGATATCAACTTCAAGGTCCGTATTCACTACGCAGATACCATCCCCCTCAGGCCGAAACCCGTCGATCAGCAGCCGGAAAACTTCACCTTTGCCTCCCGACACTGATAAGATGGCACCGTTCGTGAGGGTTGTAAAACTTTCGCGTAACTGTCTCTCTAAAAGCGCCTTCCAGTCGTCGGGGTTGTAGCCAGCCTCCAGGGGTCGTAGACGAACGTAGGTACCTTTCGGCAGAGGTTTGGCATGGACGGTTATTTGGGGTACCACGGCCTCATTACTAGAAGCATCAGGGGTATCTCCTGGTATCGCCTTGCCTAATTCGATCCCTAGAGCCTCTAACAGATACGGACTTAACAGTACCTCGCCCTCCTGCGCAGAAAACTCGCGTATGCCGGCATAGACCGCGTTGTTATTCGAAGGATTGACGAGTCGGAACATGAGAGGGCTCGGCAGTTGTTGGTACGGGTCGCCACCGAAAGCATATGGGGCTCGAGAGGATGTCGAAGCATACGAATTCCGGAGGGGGTTCGTAGCCGAAGCCGAGGTTGAGACGGAAGACGAAGTCGAAGCGGCAAGTAGCTGCTCGAGAGCAGATTGCGGGAGGATAATCTTGTCGCCATTCAAATCTCTAGAAGAGTATGTCGTTGGCGAGGCGACATTCAAAGTTGCTGACCACTTGATCTCGGGTTGTTCTTCCATCTTGAATTACAATGGAATCAGACAATATCTAGCTGTTGGACCGGCGTCGTTTGTATTGTACAAGTTTCGAGGTAAGCCAGTTTATAGACTGGGAGAGACATACCTGAAGAAACAAGGGGAAGAAGAAAAAGAATTAGAAGTGACTACGATGGGGCAACGGTCAGACGGGGTTTTAAAAACGCCCTGATAAGAAATGAAGTTGTGGGGAGGAAATCATCGTGCGTTTGTAGAGGAGTGAATGAAGAAGGATTGAAAACGGATTTGAATTTGAAAATGACGAAAATCAGTCAGCCATTTCCGTAGAGTTCCATGACGCAGCTTCCGTCCTAATATTAGCAGGTACTTGTAAGGTACTTGCCCCGCCCTTATAACTTCCCTTTAACTTGTTACGATTTACAAGTAGACGGAGAGTCGCTCCGTAGATTGCCGACGCGACTCCGGGGCTACTAATCAAAAATACACGTACGGTATCTCCGCCGTTTAGCGCGCGAAGAGAACTCCTTAACATGCAAAATACAAATACGGCAACGCGCATTGACTTGAGAGATGATGTCTTTTATTGAAAGTGGACTCTCTACCTAGGTTGCCATGTATATATTACACTTGTACGGATTATAACTATTAGGTATTTCAAAATAATATAAGTATCAATGGAAGTCCAAGTCTCCTTTTATTTGTCAAAATAAAGTCACAAGATCGAGTTACCTACCAACAAGCATTATCCACGCGGTAGTATCAATAAAAATAAGCCGGGTTCTCTTACAGAGAGTCAACGACAAGTATAGGTAGACACAGCGAGACTCGACACAGCCAAGACTATTGCGTACATTTATTGAAAACATGTCTTATTTTCTATTCTCCCCGCATCACTTTATTTCGTCGCAGTTACCACTTATACAAAAACGATAAACATAATATTGTCAGACAACTTTAGCCGTTGTATATTGCATTTCTACGCACTAAAGGTAGGTAGACTACGGATACATACACAGCCAAGACGTTCCAAGACGGATGCGATTTTGAATCTTAGGGGAGCCAAGAAAGAGCCAAGCACGATAGCGAGATGGTTGACAATGACGATCTCATTCAAGACTGGATTTATTATTCCGTATTTACCTAAACAACAAATTGCTGACCGACTCCACGAAGCGTCCCACCAACAAAAAAAAAAAAAAAAGATGCGTTACATACATATACTTAGATATATAACACATTACGCACTACCATACATTCAGTGCTACCCAAGTCTCGACGTTCGTAAAGTGTAAAAGTCTAGATTCGAGAGCGAGCTATAGCTCGATGCTGCGCTGGCCTCAACAATCATCATCGGTGGTAATGGTAGCTTACTTCCTCCCCCCGGACATGCACCCCAAGGACCAGTTACAGTCTATGATCCTGCATACGTGCGATGCGATGCGACGCTGTCGGCTCAACTTGCCAAGGAAAGGCAAACCCTCAAGAATATTGCATTGCCATCGTTACCCAAACTATACGCAATAGTGCAGCCATTTTAATGAAGAAGCCTTTACCAATGCTTTTGTTATGCCTAATCATATACGACGGTCTTGGTGATGGAGGCGAGGCAAATCATAAAGAAGGGGTTATAATAATACATAATAATAAACACCTCATCGTGTCCCCTCTACGTCCAGGGGTATGCTAGGTATGTATACCTAGATTACCATGTCTCTTATTCGACATGCAGTATATTTGTCTTACAAGGTAGAGTAATAAGCAAGCAGATCTGTCTATTTATCTCTCAACATCAGTTTACTACTCACTGTCTCCTATTCAAGTTGGGTAGACTTGCCTGCATATAGTCTATATATAGTCTACTTACATATAGTTATTGGACTAAGGGTTGCATACAACCCTGAGACAAGACAAGACAAGACAAGACAAGAGACTACTCGACTCCCTAGAATCCACTACCTCTTATTTTTTATACATAACTACATACTACCAACCTATCTCTCTTGTCTCTTCTTTATTTAATCTAAATTCAGAAACCTTAACTTAATTCTTTTCCACCGACTCGTCATCTCATCGTGTCTCTCTTTTCTCTTCTTCTTTTAACCAGCAGCTGGTCTGTGTCTGCATGTAATGGCATCTGGAGCCATCGTCCAACAACACGCGCGCGACTCATCTAGCAACGCCTCGACGAACTCCAATCCCTTACTAGACCTACTCACCAACTCCCTCGTCCTACACCAAATTATCCCCTACCTACCTATCTCGAGTATTGTCAACCTTGCCGCGACTTCGCCGTCATTCCGCGATCTGCTTTTATACCGCACCTCCGGCGTCTTCCGACACCTCGACCTAACCCGAGTTAAGATCGATCATGGCAGTGAGATCTGGCCCAACGTCCAGATTGACGAGAACATAACCGAGGACGATTTCTACTCGGGTCCTCTACGCACCATCTTCCGGAACATCCGCCGACGCGATATTTTACACCAGGTCCAAACCCTCGTCCTCGACGGTCTCTCCGTTACCGCCGAGTTCTGTAACGATATCCTTGTCGACCCCACCTTGCGTGTGCGCATTCTCTCCATCCGCGATGTGAAGAACCTCAACGAACGCAAGCTGATGCAAAGCTTGCGCTACGCTTGTCGATCTACGCGGCCCGACGACACGCCTCGACTGAAGGCATTATACGTATTCGGAACGAAGGACGCTCCCGCGCGATCTATCCCGTTGATAGCTAGACAACATGGCGCCGCTCGGAGAGGTGCTAAGATTAGTATTGGTTGGAATCATAAATCTCAACATGCGCTGAACGAGTCTATCCAGAGCGAAGGAGACGATTGGTACCATAAGAAGGGCCGCATCATAGGAAAACATATCACGGACGGCTGGGCTGAGACACTCCTTGACTGTCGGGAAGTGATCAAGTTCGACGCTGTGCTCTGCACAAGCCCTCGTCATCAGAATTCATCCGCCTTTGGAAAGGTACCAGTTACGCCGCGTGGAGTAGCATCTGGCACCGAGAGTCCATGGAACGTTGCTACTTTTGCACTAGGCGGATGTGCGTCCTGCGGGACCGCACCGGAGGGTTTTACGGTGTACGGAGACTCTCCGTCGGAGGAGTTACCTCTACTGGCACCTGTTCCGCTTCATTCGTCGACTATCAAAGCAGCAACTGTCCCGAAGCCAAACTTTAGATCCGAAGGGACGGAGGGTGCGCATAAATTCATCCCGAGATGTCTGGAATGCATTCGCGAGCGGTACTGCTTCAGCTGCGACCAGTGGTGGTGCGAGGCCTGCTACCAGGTACCGAGCCGTCAAGAGCTAAGTGGCCAGCTCGTGCACATCGTCGGTCAGACCCACGGCATAGCCGAGCATGAATCGGCAGCTCTTGAGCCGTCTAACGTCAAGGTACGGAACGGTTACTGTCCTAATTGCTACCCAACATCCGCAGAGGCAAAGCCAGGAGTTCGGAACCCCTTTCCGCCCTGAGTGGTTGCGAAGCGGCCATACAGGCGGGAAATATACCTAGTATTATCCCATGACCCTAGTTCGTGTAGGGATAGCGAGAGTGGATATCAACTGCTTTCGGTCATCCCCGGAAATTGTATGCGGCGATAATCCCCAGACGCAAATATACTTTCTCCTTAAGAGTCTCATTGTGTGGAAGCTTTACGAACCCCCTTGCTAACGATGCTTGGCTCTAGAACCCCGAGATCCCTAAGATCAAACGGAGCTGTTGGGAGTGCGAACACAACGTATGTTTCTATGGTTTCCCCTTGTATAGGACCTCTGATACTTACTCACAAATTTCAGTGTCTAGATTGCATCGCCAATACCCAGAAGCTTTGCAGAGCTTGTGGTGGCGGGTACTGCATCATCCACTACGAAGGGTCTACGCTCACGCTGGTATGTCTCGCCCTTACGGGTTCCTCTGAGTTGAGCTAATTTCGAATTCTAGTGCGATTGTACGATTATTATTCCATTCCCACAGTACGTGGTTCGCGAGTTAACTAACAAATTATTTATTCACAGGGTGCTCGAGAAGAAGCGGTCGCCGATCTCGCGAGATGTATTAGCGGCAAAGCCCATTCAGAGGTATAAGTGCTCGATTATGAAGTATCGAGTATTCTATTATGATTAATTTGCTACCCATTATGACTATGATCTTTAACTGTCCGTGGCCTAGGGTTCCATGGTTACTAGCGGCGTTACGGTTTCTCTACTCCATTGCCACTCCTATGTTTGGTACGGTCGGTTGGGCGTGTATTGTTGATATTGGTTGTAGTAAGACGTGGTCAACGACATGACATGCGGCCTTGCAATTATTTCTCTTGCGTGCCCATCGAGTCCGAGGGCCACGATGATACCCAACTCAGTTATGAATGAGCAGATTTAGTTTTTATTCAGTAAATATATTACTGCGTGTTCGACCTTATAGCATATGGGTTATTATCCAAATTCGTCCATGTAGCAAGTAAAACCAGTTGATATACAACTTCGGAGGATCTAAGACTCTCCGGGTTTCCTGCATATGGCCACTTCGACAGTTGAAACGTGGATCAACCTCTCAATATCGATAGACATAAGGCCAGTCGTCACGGCCTATATGTGTCAATGTCGATCTTGTCTCAATTACCGTAGTAGGACGCTAATTGCTCTAATATCTCCTAGGAATAACGTTTTGGCCAGGGAGACGCAGGTAATGTCAAATAATAGAGTATAAACTTCTCTGGATGTCATGGGCCTCGTTGAAGCAACAGGTGCTTTAGACAGGGAAGTGCTCCCTTAACATGCGTATGGATGTAGTGATATCTTTCATACGTAAAAAGATCCAGAATAGCCTTGGCATGTAAGCGATGCGTTAGAGCCAAAACGGTTCAATATTATCATCTGTGACGTAAATCAGCGCGTGAGGCTTATATTCTAGAAGTGATTCCGTTTCCAGGCAAATCATAACTCCAAGCCGGTGGAGAACTTGCGCGCAACCCACGCCGCGCCGAACTCTTCATACTCTTGCTTTGTAACAGATAGCGCGTTGATGTTCTCATGCTTGGCTAGATTGGCACCACCTAGCCATGTGCTAATTATCGGGTCTACAGGGCGAGCAACTCGAACGAAGCATTCATCAGGAGCGAGCTGCACGATTTCTTTTTGTAGTCGTTCAACAAATCCGTCAAAAAGAGAGTTGCCGCCGACAACGATGATATTAGCAAGGAGACCAGGCCATAATCCGACGGGTAGAACGCGTAGAGATTGCATGACGAGATCCGCAATGCCTGGCTGGCGGATACCAATATCTGAAGGATTAAATAGCAATTCTGGAACAGAGAATCGTTCGTTCCGGAGAGTTAACACATCCTCGTTGGACTCTCCAGCACGCCCAGCTGCCAGTTTTCGAGCCTTTGAGGCACGAAGAGGATCAAAATCCCGGAGAATACCCTTAGTTATCGTATGAAAATCGGGGAGCACGTAATCTTTAGCTATCCCTCCACCATTGAGATAGGTGTCCCGATGTTCACCTCTTGTGCCCTTCCAGGTACGTTCGTGGTCTCCCTTGTAATCGAGAGAAACATAGCAGGCAGCCTCCTTCATCTCGTTCACAATGTACGTCTCGTTACGCATGTCATAATGACGAAGCGAAAGCAACCGCGTCAAGTAATTAGTTAAGAGTTTACCTCCAACATCCAATCTTCGGATAGCAGGATGGATGGGCCTGCCCTGGAGAAGGGGCGTAACAGTAGTATGGGAATACCCGGTGTCGATGAGGAGTAGAATTTCGGCAGGAAGCTGAGCAAGGGTCCCGGGGTCTCGTGGTGTTCGAAGAATACCTTGCACGTCGTGATAGGCGTTGAGAGACGGACCTGGGACAATGGTTATCAGCTATGGGCCATCTTTGACGGCTTATAGAAGACGACCGCGACATACCAATTCCCCGGTAGTAGCTGGCAAACCCAAACTCCTCAAATACCATCTGGTCGCAATTTGTCTGCAGTATAGGAAGGGAGTTTGGGGGTTCGGTTAGCAGTAGTCGAGTCTCGGAGGGATCGCATGGTTGAGGAGCCTTGTCATCGAAGAATTCGTGTTCCCATATCTCTTTCTCGGCCTCCCAGTTCACGACGAAGCCTTTCTCAACGGGTCGCCTAAAAGCGACCTCGCTGAAGTCAGTACATTTATTAATGTCGGAAGCAATGTAGATCTTCTTATTGCGATCTCGGGCGATGCAATTCGGTATTATACGAGGCTCGTCTACGACGTCACCCGCCACATATCCAGCCTTTATGGTGTACGCACCATTGTCGAGAACCAAGGTTCGCGATGGCGATGGAGGTTGATTTGTTTTTGATTTCCTTGTAGGAGCCATAATGACTATTAAGTATTTACATTAAGGTGCTACGACGTCTCTACTGCTCAATCTGAAGCGAGAGGAAGGCGAGGATTATTAGGCATTGGTAGCAATATCAATGTTGAAGAAACATTGAAGCTATCAAGAATGACGATGTATTTTTGGTATTTGGTAGGTACAACATTTTCGATGCGCCAAACCAAAAAAGAATTTATCATAAGTACCTCCATGTATCTTGTACTTATCTGTAGGTACCCACTTAAAAAGAATTCATGTAGCCAGCAAAGCAACCTGTAATTAAATAATACCTTATAAGTGAGATTCCCCCTTATCATCATATACGGATAAGCATCCACTAACATCAACCCGGACGTGATGAGACGTCTTTAAATCAATTGCTGGCGCTGGCTATCACATTATTCGCACTCTTCATATAATAACGGTCTCTTCATCTTTTAGATTTATTTATTTTTTCTCTATTCATTTCCCCCTAAATCCAACAAGCCATAGGCACCTGTCTAGTATAAGCTACGCCACGATACCTAACGAATACTTCGAATCTTATAGCTCTAGCTCCGTACTGCTCTGATTATAAGTCCAAGTTACCTCATTAACTAGTCGAGCTATCTTCACCTACGCAACGGTGTTGGTCGTCACCCACTCATTGAACTTGTCAGATCGAGCGCCCCCTAGGTCGTGAATCCATCGTCCCACGTTGTCGTGAATGCTGAAGCCCGACTCGGGGTTTGCCGGCTCCTCAACTGGGGTCGATGAGAAGGCGTAGGCGAAGTTGGTATCTCCGGCACCGTTGAGAATGTATGGGTTCCCGTCAAAATCGGTCCAGCTAGCACAACCTGTGCAGAGTGCCGTGAATTTGAAGTGCGTCTCGTTCACGCCGGTGCCCTTAAGGACCGTGTACTTAGCATCCTCGTACGGACCAGGTAAGTAGTATCCCCTACGTTCGTTAGTTAGAAATTGTTTGAGAACTAAGTTAGGTATTCGTATAATTAAAGGCTTCACTCACGTAGCTTGGCGGGGGGAAAATTGAACATTGTCTCCGTCGTGCCATACGAGAGTCAAGGGGTTGTATGTCATAGCACCGCCCCATGCCCATCCGGCCCAGCCCAATTCTACCGGTGCCACGACCTGGAGGATCACATCATAGCCAGCATCGCCAGTTGCCTCCGCCGGAAGAGCCAGTCGGTAAGTAATACCGTCCGTGCTTGTGTAAGACTGAAAGGTTATTCCAGTGTCAGCGTCGACAAATGGACTCGAGTCCAGCTGGGCGAGAGCTGCGGTACTGTAAGTGCTAGGCTCATCTGTTTTCACTTTCTCTTAAGACTTGACAACTCTACTTACCAGACCCAGCAAGGCCAATAACACCGGCGGCGACTGCGGACCACTTCATGATTTTTCTTTTGGGGGGATGTTGAGCAGACAGAAATAACCAACGAGTCGACACGAGTGTCTAGAAGGAAGCCCCCCTCCCTTTATATCAACAGCCGTCAACAGCGTCGTCACATACAGGGCATGGCTTCAACCGAGAGAAATTAATTTGGAGAGCTGTCTCCGGAACGGCCAATACGGGTAGGCCAATATAGCACCTCTGCATATCAAGGTACCATCTAGGATACCACGCCGGATGCTCTTCGTGATGTAAGATCAAGAGGGTCCATAGTTGCCCCTTGCTACATTCGCTTGAAGGGGGCCAACGCCTCTTAGCGCGGCTGAAGCTAACGTGGCATAAATGGCAGATTGACTAGAACCGGAATAACCTTCACGCCAAGGACATGTTTTCTAAATGTGGTATATTGTATACCGCAGGCTTCACTATACTCTGCCATCAAACTTCGGAAATGGAATTCGTCGCTCCGCGTGGGGTCGCCTGGTTACAATAACCCGAGTTAGGAAAAGACACAGTTGTAGTCTTATAATAACATGTGCCCACGTAGTAGCGAGAGGAGGCCGAGAGGCGTACGTCCCTGCATATATATGTCATAAGTAGAACGCATTAGTTTTACCCTCAACCTGATTGGGTCTTTCGGACGCCTGGCAAGGATTCCCGGAGACAACATTAGCCTGAATCTTCAAATGGGTTTACTTTACCACTACGTTCCGCTTACAACTTCTGCCAATAAATTATTCACGAAGGAGTTCAGACGATCTTCTCCAATTGTCGAGTCAAAACGGGCATGTCTTTGTCGAAGATGTCCTATACCCCTAAGTCCCCACATGGAAATCAACTTCTCAACCTGGGTTACTCCAAGCCAGCAATTTAGCCTGGAATAGCATAACAAAGGCATCCGCGATATGTGTCCCAGATACGTAAATAAGAAGTATATAAAATGACTGATCTCCTTTGCCTCATACTACTGCAGCATGACATCAGGAATAATCATAAACATGATACTGGGTCAGTGCTGAACCCGATCGGGGGGTATAGAGGTATGGGCGTAGTTTAAACCAAGCGTTATTATGTCGAAAACCTACATAAAGACAATATGGCAGCAGATAATTAAACGTCATGGTCTCAGTCATACCTAGTAGAATAGACAGAGACCTTGTATCCCTAGTACCTAATATAGCCAGGTTTACGGAAAGCCAATACGAGAACGAACCCCCATTATAACTAATTGGTATCATGTCGGACTGACAAGGTCTATAGCCAACAGGGTGGATAGCCCTAGTGTGGACCCTCTCGCTTCCTATAAGGAGACCATACACACACACTGTAGATAGCTGTCTCCTCAGATCAATTCAAGCCCTCATCTCACGATCATTCCTCAGCCAGTATCCGTTCGACATATCATTCCACAAAATGGTAACTAACTAAGGAATGTAATGTCCAAGAATAATAAGACAGCTCCATACCCACGGGCATCCAAGTGGCTCCTCTTAACAGATAGTTTTGGGGCTCAAACTGTGAGATTGCGAGACGTAGTCGTGACACACAGTAGCGTTCTAGACCAGCAGCATTATAGTAATATTCGCACTCGATGTAATAACTATATCATGCTATATGACGATACCGGTAGCATATCCAAGCCCATCGGAGACCGGTAAACGTTACCGATGCTGGCAACAGTAGGTATGTTAAGCTTCAATCTACTACGAAGCTTAGCTCTTATCCAATATAGGGAGGGCTGAAAGCGGAACCTAATCGAACACGATCAAAAGGCCAGTTCAAATTCTACGTGAAGATATCGTCTAGGTAAAATCACGAGAAACCTAGTAGGTAGATGCGGTGAATACCGCCGAGTACTAGGTTGAGGCGGTTAAACGAGCCACGGCGCATATGCATCGCGCCAATTTGCCGAGATGAGTCTTCTTATACCAAACGTTCTGATCAAGAAGGGCAAAGTTCATGCTGCCGATCTGCCATGCCGCCGTCTATTGACCCGAGGCAATCCCAGAAAGCTAGTCCGGCATTCCGATGATTTCAACTTATGGATTGGAGACGATCGCTCCGAAGGATCCCCGGAGGGCTGAAGACTACCTAACTCCTAAACGTATTGAACATGTGACAAGGCATGGTTTATGGGCGACATTGTTGACAAGAGTATAAGAACTTACTCACCTAGGTAGTTATATAAAAGACAGGTAAGCTTCTAGAATTTTTGACAGAAATATCCCGAGTCATAAGTATTCGTATAAGTCTGATTTATTTCGTAACTTTTAATAATAATAATAATAATAATAAAGAAAAACGCATTTCAGACTTCTACATCTCATTTCTCAGTCTCTATAGACTTTCGCTTGTTTAGGATTTCGTAATCCGAGAGGAAATGCAATATTTCGTTTTATCTCCTATCTCCTAAGAGATGCACAATCACATGATTATCTCCGGCTCCCAAGAAGTGGCTGCGCTCAAACTTGTTCTCGTCTCGGTATGTACCGCAGTAGCGCAGTAGTACAATGACGGCGCCACATGGTTAACCGCATGCGGATTAAGGCGAGGCAAGGGGAATAGGGCAAGATTCGAACTGGATGACGTGATTCTCTCTTCTCTTCTCTTATCTTGCATTAGATATTCCAGATTCCAGATTTTCCGATCCCTCCTTTCCTATCGGATCGGCTTTGATCGGAAAGACGGACTCTAACATGGATATCTTGATTTCATGTGAGACAGTCGGTATAGTCGGTATGTATAGTCGGTATTACATCTATACATTTGTAAGTGTAAGTGTATGCGGCGTTAGCACCTCTCCCGTCTTGGACCGCTTGCAGAATAAGCAAAATTCCATCTTGGCTTTTAGCTGGTCTCGTTTGTACTTAAATACCTAACTCAATATTATGGCTTTTCTAAGACAACCAAAATGACGATCATGACCGATATAATATTTTAGTTTGCGACCCCGTCAGCGGAGGATTACACATATAAGTACCTAAACTACAACAAAGTCAACCTTTTGCCTCTTCTCATCTAGATTGATCTTCACCTCCTGCACTAGTTTATAATATAGTATAGTCTAGTTCATCATCCCCCACTTTCACCTGCCGGGACCCTGAAAATCCCTCGATTATATTTCTAAGCTTAGGATACTTAACTTAGCTTGTATAGAGTCTACCTTAACTATTCCCCCTAATATCTAATATCCCTTCATATTCATCCATCTCAAACTCTTACCTACCTCTCATTTTTTTCGTATACGTAGCCTCATTGTCCGTATACCGTGTACATTATATTGCTATCTATAGGTAGACAGGTAGAGAGAATCCGTATCCTTCATAATGGGTTCCCTTCCTCCGGACTCCGACTCCAACCCGCCGCGCCGGCCCCTCCACGATTCCATCCCTCCTCTAATCCTAGGCACCGCTACCTTCAACACGCAATATGTTCCAAACCCCTACGATCTACCAGCTATCTCTATCGTATCGCGCGCTCTCGACCTCGGCGTCCGCGCTTTCGATACGTCGCCATACTACGGACCATCGGAGTTAATCTTGGGCGACGCCCTAGCTCATCCCTCCGTCGCCACGGCATATCCCCGCTCCTCCTACTTCCTCGTTACTAAAGCCGGCCGCATCGCCTCTGACGTCTTCGACTATAGCCCCGCCTGGGTCCGGTACTCGGTCCTGCGAAGTCTAGAGCGTCTACACACCAGCTACCTGGACTTGGTTTACATGCATGATGTCGAGTTCGTCTCGCCCCCTGAGGTGCTAGCCGCCGTGCGCGAGCTGCGTCGCCTACGCGCCGAGGGTATTATTCGCTACGTTGGTATCAGCGGCTACCCCGTCGAGAAGCTGTGCGCCCTCGCCGAGATGATTCTCCATGAGACGGGAGAGCCTCTCGACGCCGTACTGAGCTACGGCCATTATACCATACAGAACACGACATTGGGTACTTCCGCTATGGCTAGGTTTGAGAGTGCAGGAGTCGACGTCGTCCTCAATGCTAGCATGCTTAATATGGGCCTGCTAACAACCAGAGGCGCGGCTACCGGTCCCTTAGCCTCGTGGCATCCAAGCCCGGAGGGTTTGAGAAAAACATGTCAGGATTTGGTATCTATCGCGGCAGATGCGGACGAGAAATTAGAGGTTGTGGCTATCCGGTGGGCGTTGGACAACTGGTCAAGAATCGGCGCATCTAGAGGCAGTCGTACGCAAAAGCTACCGACCGGGGACCGGGTCGGCGTAAGCGTCATGGGCATCTCGAGCGTCCCCGAACTAGAAGAAACATGCCGCGTATTCCAGAGCGTAATCGAGGGCCTCGAACCGGAGACTTCTGATATTGAGCGGTCGAAACGAAGGCAATGGAGCTTGGATCGTCGTCAGAAGATCCAAGGGGTAGTAGAAAAGATGTGGACGGTCCTGGGCCAATGGAAGGACTACAGCTGGAGTAGTCCCGAGCCTGGATTCGTCAATGCGAGAAAGTCTGCTGATATCGGTGTTACGCCCAACGATGGGATTCTTGCCAAGCATGCTGCTAAAACTAATGTGAGTGTGAACATTGAGGAGTTACCGTTATCCATTATATAGGAGGTAACTATATAAATGTACCAAACATTATAATGCACGAAAAATCCTTCGGTACAGAGACTCGCGCGGGGTTTATAAGATGTAACCCTGATAGCGCTATAAACACGTATAAGGATTGGGATTCTACACCCATCGAGGCGTTATGATCTTCGCGATCCATATGTACTCTTAACATGTAAAACTTAGGGCAATGGAAAAACCCGGACGAGGTATTATGTCTTCACATCTGGCTCTCTTGCTCCTAGAAATACATCCTAGCAAAGAATCCCACTGAGCTGTAAATTTCTTTTTTACCTACCTGAGAGGTACCTTCGTATGTCTATTGATTAGTACGTGAAGCGTATTTGGATAGTAATGAAGAAATGAATATAATCACACTTGGGTACCAAAATGTTGCCTACCTCCGGGCTTACCACAAATCTGCAGACAGATAGAAGCTCATGTGAATATCGTTCCAATAGCCAATTCTCGCCCATGCGCTGTAGGGAAAACATGAATGTTAAATAACTTAGATACTATTAAACACAAAGCTGGGTAGGCACTTGACTAGCTACCTGCGTGAAGGCTAAATATGTACCATTGACGAATGATTCTATTTACTTCTTAAATCGAAGTTGGCTCTTCTAGGTCAGTAGAGCCAGATATACCACTGGATGCTGTGGCGATGTCAACCATCATTTACGACGAGGCTCAGCACATAGGAGAAAATAGAATTGCGCGGAGAGATCTTTACTTCAACCGAGGGATTAAGCCCCCTTATACTTCATCGATCTGGTTCAGGGGAATTAACTTATATCGCCTGTGAATGCCAACCATCTATGTATACAATCCTCAACTCCGAACTAGAGAAAGTCAACAGTGCCAGCCTCCCCGTTAATGCAGATATTCATGATCTTCAGTCCCATTTATCACCCTGACCGGAAACCGCCTCTGCAGCGAGAATCAAATAATGGCGAAAAAAAATGTCTATTGTGCGACTTCTTGCCGCTTATCCGCCATAGTGATGTGTCCAATTTGTTTAGAATCCCTGTCGTCATCGCCAGTAGGCGCTGGGGTCTCGGGGGTGATCATCAGTTGCGGCGGCGTAGTAGTTTCTCCCTTCTCTTCTTCCGCGTTCTGGTTGCTTTGACGGGTATCAAGTTTGGGTAAGCTTTCTTTCTTGTCTCCTTCCTCTTGGACCGGATGATCTGCGACATGTTCTATGTGTTCGCCGTGAGCTTCTTCGGCCTCCGCCGATTTACTTCCCGGGCTCGCTTCTCCGCTTCCGGGTGATTGGGCCTCGCCGTCTAGGGGAACACCAACCATCTCCGCTAAGCTTCTAAAGTTAAACATGGGTTCCAAGTTCGCGTTATCACTCTCCTCACTGCGCCCGGCCAAGCTAAGACCGCTGGATCGGGGATCTTCGCTGTCGGTATTGAGATGCGTACCTGTATAACTAGCTGGCGTGCTTTCAACTCCACTAGAGCTGACAGAGCTGGCGTTGCTCATCTGACGAAGATGAGACGATCCTCGGGAAGGCTGCGAAGGAACGGGAATCGGTAGAGAGGCGACACCAGAACCGCTTGACTGATCATCTTCATTCTCACTACGATCGACTGCCTTTCCTTTGCTGTTTGATGGCGAAGTCGAACCAGGGTTGGGGACTGGGCTCGTAGTTCCGCTATTGGCTTGGACAGCTACGCTGGTTTCCATGCGCGGGTTACTGGCGGCACTATTATCTCGCTTTCGCCCGAATGCCAAACTAAGAGAGCTCGCGCTCGCACTACTACCACCGCCTCCGTACACGTCCCCCTTCTTCTTCGTAGACTTCCGTTCCTCCTTCTCTCGCTTTTTTGCCTCTTTACGGGCTTCCTTATCTGCTTTCTTTCGTCGCTCCTCCTCGTCCGCTAGGCTTAGTCTTATCGCTTCCGCCATCATTAGGTTTTCGAGGTGCGCAGCATCTATCCGTTCCCGGTTTGGAGCAGCCCGGCTTGAGAGAATGCGAGGCGCTTGTTCAGGACCCGAGGAGACATCAGCCCCGCCATCGTTTGGTGGAAGATTGGAACTATTGCCTGGACTCTCGTTTCCCCGATTGTTCCCTGCATTCCTACGGCTAAAGCGAGATGACCGACCAAAGATCGTACGGGGTTCTTGGTTTCCCATTACGAAAGCAGCATGGTGTAGAGCATCTGCGGCTGCTGCCCTCCGACGCTGTTGCGCACGAGCCGCAGCTAGTTTCGTAGACCAGTCGGGCCGGATACGGTCAGTAGTGATAACTCCCGGCGCGTTGGCAGAAACACTCTGCGCTCGCCGGCGGTTGGCATTGGGAGATGTAGTCACCGGTGGTGAAAGGCCTGAATTGAGTGAACTCGAAGACGACATAGCCGTGCTCATAGCACCAAGTGTAGTACTATTGAATGCATACGTTAATCCGCGGCGGAAAGGGGGAGGCTCGTATGTCACGCCAAACTCCGTCTGGGTACAGTACGGACATCTGGCCGGTTCCATAATAAGCTCGCCTTCATGCTCTTCGGGATCAGGCGGTGCCTGACCGCCCTCCTCGTCAGCGTGGTGTTCGGGAAGATGTGGGTCAGGACGTTTGATCTGAACGAAACATTCACTGCAAATAATTTGGCAGCAGCAGCGCGTACGATTGAGGTACGGGGGGTAGTACATAAGACAGAGGGGGCACTCAATTCCCTCCTTGTACAGGAATACCTCTAGGGGTTGACCGTTGACGAATGGGTCGTGGGGTAAGTTAATCTCGCGTGGTGTAATAATATCCGTATGCGAACTATTTCGAGATATGTTAAGAGCTGCTGCTAGAGATTTTTTATGAGGTTTGAAGGGCGAGTTGGTCCTCGGGATACTGGAGGATGTAGGAGAAGGCAAAGCTGAGCCCGGATTTGAACCAGGGTTGTCAGAGGGGATTGAAAGGGTCCGAGGGCCCATCGGAACGGTAAGGTTCTGCGTCGAAGCGCCGGGGGAATCTGCTGACCTGGGTTGCGGGATGAGTAGCTCGGGGACTTCGTCGGCGGGAGGGATCTCGAGACCGCGAGCCGCGGCGATAATCTGATGTTCGGCCCAATTCTCATTAAAATCATCTAGTCCACGCCAAAATGGCGCTATCTTCCTCTCGATCTGTCACATTCGGCATTGTATTAGCTGGAGACTGGCAATTGACCCGGGCCGGCCGGCAGGAATAACATATTGCTTACCTGTAATTGGCGTACTACGGGCTTGCTAAAGTCCTCAGAGGCGGTGTATACACCCATTGTCACCAGGTAGCCCCCGTCTACGTTTTCCTCTTTCATACTACGTTCGCGCTCCTTGATCCGGGCAGCTCGTTCTCGCTCCAACCTCCGAGCTTCCTTCTCCTGCTTTGTCTCTCGATGTTCAAAGGGGGCGTCTTGATTACGCGAGCTCGACGAGCCACCGAAGGATAGGCCTATGCCACTCAAGTCTGGTCGACTAGCACGTCTCGATCGATCAGGGAGCTCTCCATGGTAGCCGGCACCGGTAGAACTTCCACCAGAATCCCCACGGGTCCCATGAGCTCCCATACGAGTGCCGCCCCTCCCATCTTTCGTATGCGTATTGCCCATCTTTTTTTTTTTCTTCTTTTTTTTCTATAGGTGCGCCGGAATCCCTCGACTGAGGATACAATGTGTGTAAATATATAGTCCGATGATTTTCGCACGATAGGGATCGGCGGAGGGGCGTAGGGACCACGGCCACAAATGACCAGCGGGGACTTAGTTTATCGGCATGCAGAATGTCGAGTATTAAATTAATGAGGAAGTTGAAACCCCGCGGAATTTCGGCCGTATATCGATGTTGCGATTGATGATTGCGAATAAGTAGGATGGATTTATCATATACTATCCTATCGAACTGTTAGGATGTGACTCTAGATAAAATATGGTAAGTAGAAAGAAACGCAGGTAGCTGGTCTGTAGGCTGAGGGCCATCATAGATACCTCATACGCCGAGACGCAAGTCGGCCTACTTCCAAGCTAAATGTGGATGCCGTCAATGGTAGTACTAGCAACGCATGCTTTTGAGAGTATCTAGTAACATTGACTAGGAAACCGTTCGATAATACCAAGCTTGATGCGTCACTGAGCCAGGGTTCGACAACTAATCACACTCTATGCGTTGGTGTAGCAAACAATGGCCGAATATCGAACGAATGGTAGATAGGCGTCGATATTGGACGGGGACCCCAGGAATGTGTATGGATGAACGCGCGGGTGTGTAATAGTATTCTAGGATATATTCTAGGCACAGGGTTGGCTGAACTGGGCTGGGCTGGGCTGGGCTGAACTGGTTACCATTTTAGTTTGGCTTGGAGATGTCGATCAAGAAGACCTTTGGACCTTAGGATAAGTTGGTGTGGTGCGACGCGCTGGGTAAGAGCTGGAACTCTTAGGCTCTCTTGGACTCAGTTGAACTCTGCTGAACTCTGCGACTCTGGACTTCGGAAGATTTGTGAGATTGTCTAAGCTGGGAGCGAATGGACGGTTTCGGTTTCTCCCACCTCTTTATTCCCTCGCAGGAAGCAGGAAAAGAAAAAAAAAAGAATGATCAAAGTGCTAGATTATAATATCTTGAACCGAGTATTGAAAATAGTCACGCTAGACCTGCTTTCCACTACGCCGTCCTAGCCAACTAAAAGGTAAGAGAATAAATGATCCGACTCCGAGGGTAACTGAATGACTTAAAGGCGAACTTGGAAATGGATTATGATGAAGTAATGTTTAGAGGTGGGGGGTGCGCGATTGTTGTCAATGTATCCGGTACTCTACTATGTACCTATGTATACCTAATATACCGCACTTTCCTCGGTTAGGTACTTTAGGTTAGGTACAATTGGTACCTGAATGTATCATCTAACAGCCCCACATCATGTACCTAACCTAGGTAGGTTGTATTGTACCTACGCCTTATCGACCCACGGGCTGCAAACCCCCCGCCAAAAAAGAGTACCTAGTGCTGATAGTGCTAACTAAATAAAGTCTCGATAGTCGAATCAAGCTTCTTAGATCATGCAAAAGACAGTAGCTTCAGGGCACATGCATAAGGCTCGTCTCTTTCCCCTTTTAACCTCTACTATGTCAAGTTTACTGGATAGCATCGTTACGGTTTTCAATTTAACAACCGCCACGTGTGGGACTATAAGTCCATTAGGTACTCTTTCACCTATATACCTATGCACGTGTGCTGCCGGTATCCTAGGATAAGTCCCGTCCATCTAGATGCAATTCTAATAAGAATTGCCGGTGCCAAGCGCTTTAACCATCCATCCCTCACACGACTTAGCATTGCGTATATTGGGGAACACCATCTAACACCATCTCGATTTATACATGACAGGTAGATACCTTAGATACCTCCTATGTATGTATATATTTACCTTCTGCTCAGAAAGCAGCAAAGCATCCACCAGTTATCGAAGCACACCATGCCATGTCTAAGATTCTTCGGTTATCCATCCCGCCTGACGAGCCTCCTTATCGACAGCTAATCACAAGCTTTCATTCCAACGTCATGCGCCCACTACTCACCCGGCTCGAGGTCATTCTCTAAGTGTCGATATATAAGTTTACCACCATGTCAAACCTGTAATCATCCAAATATGTAACCTCTTTCAACACGCCCTAAACTGATGACCAGGTGTTATATTATTCAAGGAGACGTTAATGTAACAGGTGTTCGGGATGTTATAGCGTCAACGGCGCCAGGCCCGCATGGAAGTATAGACATCTACCTATACGGAGCCCTCCCTATTCCGGTCAAAGTGGGGGCTCCGGCCTGACTTCCGGCAAAAGATTAGAGCAAGGTGAACGTAAACCATCTCCGAACCGTCCTACATGTATGAGGTATATATAATTACTACCTACCTAAGGTAACTATCAAACACTTACTAGATCAACTTGGAATCACGCTACTCGTCCACATCTCTAGGTCCATTCTTCCTAAAATACTCGTCATACTCCTCCCAAGTCATATGAGGAAAGTCGGCTGGTCGTGTAATGGGCACGAACGGTATGCCTCTTTTTTCAAATTCTGCCAGCCTCTCTCTAGTCCTTTCCCTGGTATTGTTAACGCTGTATACTCTGATCCGATGAGCGCTGCTTGTCACATGCAGACTCCAATTCCATGTGTTCCTAACCTCGGTCGGTTGAGTGTTGAGGCTGTTATCCCAGCACCGTACTACAATCTCTATCCATCCCTCAACATCGCAAGGCAACCACATGTGCCAGGTGCGCCAGGCAAATTTATGCTTAGGGCTTAGATTTTCCGTCGGTACGGTATACCACGAGAATCCGCCGTCGGCGCTGACCTCGACTCGCTCGGGCCAACGGCCGCCCCCTGAGTACGCCCATCCTTTAACTTCGATTTTCCCTTCGTGTAGCACGACCTGTTTATTCCAAGGCGACATGATAGCGCTACTCACAGGCATTTCTTGTATCTGAATTCCATCGATCCAACGTTGGTTATGCTTGCCCACTTGCTGGTTGAAGTATAGGTACTCTCTGCTCTGCACCGGGGCTTTTGTCGGCTCTGGTATCGCGGTTATGCGATATAGCCACTTGACACTCCTAGCACCTATATAACCCATTACTACCGCTCTGACCGGTGCTCCGTGGATCTTGGGAAGAGGTTCGCCATTCATTTCCCAGACGAGCATAACCTCATGAGATTTGACCTTGGAATAAGGCACGCTGATGGCGTAGTTCATGACCTCGTTCATTTTGAAGTACGTATCGGCACCAACGAGCTCTAGATGCTTCGCACCCTCTTCAAGCCCGCCACAATATTTTATCACCTTCTTAAGTGACACTCCCACGTATTTTGCTGTGCCAATAGCTCCCTCCGCCCAAGGGGCATTGATCATTTCGTCTCCCTCGCCAGCGTACAAGCCTATCTGCTCGATACGCCGTGTACCGCTGCATTGAATAGTTACTAACCTCTCCATGCGTGGAAACCGGCTCTCGTCCTGAAGGTCCGACAGCGTTAATTTTTGGGGTGTCTTTACCAGGCCGTCCAGACGGAGGAACCACGCGGACGGATCGATGGACGGAATGCCACCGTGATTACGGATAAAGTGCAGAGGATTCGGTGTAACCGGGTGGGCGGTTACGAGCCTTTTAGGCGGTTCGCCGTTGTATGGGAACTGAAGGATATGTAGCATATCTGGTGACTTTTCTTTCAGCACGATAGCCCAAGATTCTTCTGGAACTACTGCCAGACGGCCGCCAATAGCTCGGTGCCATAGTTTCCAGCGGATTCCTGCTCAGACGAAGAAGACTGCGTATTAGCATGATAAGAGCGTATGAAGATAAAGTAGAACTCGCCTTCAAAAACTGGATTGGTATCAGGAATGGGTTCCAACTGGAATTCGGGTGGCGGAGGAAAAGTTTGAGAGGCGAGAATCTCATGCGCCCTGCGCTTCTTGTCTGGGTAGTCTTCCCATTCAACATAGCTTGTATGGTCAGAACAACATTATTATCCAGACATGGGGGGACTGTAAACTTGCCCATCCCAGCCTACTAGTTCATCAACGGCTAGTTTACCATCGACATTTTTTGTAATTGGCTGGATCGCTCGTTCCCAACCTTTAACATCGCCGTTTACCTCGTTATGTTTCGTTTGGTCAAGCATATGCAACCTCACTCCCGTTAAGCCCTGCTCGAGCTTCCACTGAGCGCTAGGCTAGCAAGTTTTAGTAAGAAAATACTTATTACAGTTGATTTTCTGTCCAGGTACCAACCTGAAAATCGTGAACACCCTCACGCTGCGGGATATCAGGCTGCATCTTGGAGAATAATCACAGCTGCATAGGTTATAGGTAAACCAAGGAGAGGAAATCATGAGAGATCTAAAAGTAGTAAATAAGACAAATACCTCAATTGCTTGAGTAAAAAGAAGATATTTGCAATAGCTTGTCATTAATATATCTATATCTATACGTCAATTATGTGCTATCAAGTGCTTACTGAGCGCCCATGATGATTCAAGGACATGGAGATAAAGACGACGTAAAGATTCGTCATACACCTAAACTCTATCAAACTTTAAGCATCAAGTTCATGGTATAAGTTTGTACTGGTGGAAATACGAATTTGACCTAAATGGAGGACATTCAGACTGGCCAAATAGTCGAGCCAATGTAAAATGTGAAGTTCATTCTTAGGTTTGTCTCTAGTAGCATATAGATAACTTGACCACCTAACTTTATAGTCCTTGAAGGGAGATCTAATATTCTATAGAATATATTTTCGAAATTCCTAATTTAAAGGGGAGAGGTCGTACATCTGGGAGGTCATGTACGTACCTAAGAGATACAAGATATGTACTGCCAGTTGTAAGACTGTTGGAGTCAGCTGGCAACTATTAAAGCTAAAGAAATACTTGGGTACATGTACTTCGTAGAACCCCGCCTTCTTATTTGTCCCGCAGTCGCGCTCAAGGTTAAGAAGAAAAAAAGAAAAAAAGAAAAAACCGAGAATTTAGGTAATTAGCATTTCTATGTTGACCAACAAACAACAAACAATTTGAGGGAACATGGCAGCAAGCAGCATAGCCGGCGATGCCCTTGAGGCTCTAAAGTCTGTAGTCCAATCTACAACAAGCCTCATATCGCAACTTGAAGCTCTCCTCCATTCGATAGCATTAAACGAAGTGTCTTCAACAACGATTACCCCGCCATCGTCATCATCGTCATCATCGTCGCCGACTCCTGAGTCAATCGATCCTCTATCCCTAGCCCACGACTCGGCGACTCTAATAAAAGCCCATATAACCAAATTATCTCTTCTCATTATAAACGAGCCGTTCACGCCCTCCGCCATATCTAAAGTCCTCCGCGAGCTAGTCGCAGGTCCGATACCAGCTCTAGCTTCTGCCGTTCAGGTTTGCGATGCCGACAAGTACACCTTAGTAGCCCGCCAAGATCTCGCGTGGCGATGTTATCGTGTGCTAAAGGAACTCAAGAATCTTATAGAGGTCATACCTCTAGACGGGAAGATCCTGGCTGGCGCACAGAAAAATGGGACTAAGGGGGACAGAGGCAGCTTGGCCGCCACAGGTGTTATCTGGGCTGCTTGCGACGACGTAATCTTGCTGAAGAAGTTAGGAATTGCAGGATTACTTATCAAAAAGGTTGAAGAATATAGGGACACGCTAAAGGACATCCTCGAGGAGCTCAAGGAATATAGCGAAGAGGTTGATGAAGACGACGATGACGATAGTGATGCCGACGAAGCGGAAGAGGGCGGAGTTAACAGCGTCACAGACCAGATGCAAAACACACACATCTCGACACAGGAGATGCTTGACGATCTTATGAATCCCCGCCGCATTCCAAGGGGCGACCCAGACAAAATCCGGGACCGGCTTGAATCTTGCCTAAAGCGACTACGCTTGACCACTTTACTCTATACGGCTATCATTAAGAGGCGGCTAAAATCAATTCCACCACTAGCCACGACGACGACGCCATTATCAGTTACAAAACGTCTTGACGAGGTATTCCCCGTATTAAAAAGGCTATCAAATCGATTTGGCGAGGTTGCCTACGCATTTTACGAGTTAGATCGTAACTCTATAGATCGCACGATGGACTCATGCTTCTTCGACGCATTTGCCGCGTCAGAAATGTTAATGAAGCCGTGGGACGGCCAGAGAGACGAGTTTACGGAATGGGCAGAAAAATTCCAAGTCGGCATTAAAAAACCGGACTAAGGACCTGTATCATTATTGATATATGATATACATGTTGAAAAGAATATATACATTGCTCGTCAAGACGGGCTCGACAAGGAACTTTTCCCAAAGCAAGAAGAGAATATATCACGAAACGCTTATAGTTGAATTGCGACGGCGTTGAAGTTGACCTATTCGATTATTAGTTATTAGTTAAGCACATTTAGGCGACTTCGTTTTAACTAAAGGGACTTACATGGCCTGTAGAAGGGCAGCTGTTCGAGATTTCGGGACCCGTCGTCGATTTGCCGTCGAGGGTGACGGTGACGGCACCGGTATTTCCATTGAAGGGAACTTGGTAGAAATAAGCCTTGCCGACGGAACGCGACGGGCTCACGGTTTGGCTTGCGCCCCCGATAGAAACAGTGATATCCTTGGAGGAGTCAGATAGCGCAATAATCGAGATAACATCCTGCGTTCCGCTTGCTGCCGAAGCACTTCCGCCCTGGCCCCAGACGGTACCTACGAATAAATGTTAGCACGTGTCGTCAAATAACAGCGAATATGATTTGATTATTCCTTACCGCCATCACCGCAGATAGTAGCGGGCGTAGTTCGGTACCATGCGACGGCTCCTTCGGACGGCAGGGCAACATCTGCGCTACCGGCCTTGTAGGCGCTGATGAAGTAAGGCAATACGAAGCGGAAAGCTGAGTGTCCGAAGCCGTCGACGTAAGTCTCAGCACCGCTCACGATCTGGGCCGCGATGGGGTCGTTGATGTAGCTAGACTCGCCGTAGTCGTTCCCTATTCATATTAGCCTCTTGCTAAGAAGCCTCGGTTGTTGGCAGACGCGATATGCTTACAGGTAATAATCTCGATGTAAGTTGGCAGAATCTCCAAAACCTGTGCCCAACGGTCGTACCAGAGAGAGTCGCTGGATGAGTACCAGTTCTTGCTGTATTGGGGGAGGTCTATGTTTAAATTAGTTCCCAAGCCTTAGCTGAGTCGGGTCCATGCCCAGATAAGTTTCTGCTCGTACCGGTATAGAAGTAAGGGCTGACACCCATCATGTACGCCTTGCCCTGAAGGGACGACTGGTAGGCGACGTCGTTGCCGGTGTCGATCGAGTTTTCGTTCGCGTTCGGCCACGCACCCCAGTTAACTATACCGTGTAAGCTGCCAAAGTAATTGCTAGTCGGCAAGTAAGAGAGAGATCACTTACAAGCACCATCAATCGTGTCGAGCTTGCCTCCGACGCCAGCGGCGCCTAGTGAAGACCAGTCGGGAACCACTGTCCCATTTCAAATTAGCCATGTACACCGGCAGAGAAGAATCACGCCGTTGAATATTAAGATTCACTTACAGAAGATGTCTCCCGTAGAGGAACGCACGGTAGCCCAGTTGTCAGCCCAGTCAGGCCCTTCGAAAGTCGAGACGAATGGCTTTCCGTTGACCTTGAGCTGGCTACTAGCATCCTTGTACTGGTTGACGAGCGCAATGACCTGGTCGGTAGTCCAGGAGCTAGCAGCCATGTCGAAAGACAGGAACAGGCTGAAGCTGTTGGACGCGGCGGTATCGTAGGCCAACTGCAACTGCTCGGCGTTCCACGAGTCGGACGATCCGACGTTCAAGGCGAAGCCGTCGATGCCCGCCGACTTGGCTTGCGTAATGTCCGTCTGCCATTGGTCCTGGGACTGTCCGCTCGTCAAGCCAACCATGTAATGAGCAAAGACCTGGCGGCCGCTGTCCTGTCTCGGGAGAGCCGCACCGACTGCGGTGTTGGCGAGCAGCGCAACTGCTGCTGCCGCGATGTTTAGACGCATTTTCAAACGAAATAAAACACTAAACTTGCTAGATGCTAGATAAACAATATGAATATGAAGAAAGGAAGAGATGATGTTGCTGTGAGGAAATGATCAACAGCAGTCAAAACCTGGGGTTGTGACGATCTATATTTATATAAATATAGCTATTTTATCTAGGAACGCAGTATTTTATATGTAGGTCCTAAATTTGGGTTCAGCTCCTTCTTCAGCTTAGGTGACATTGCGAGGCGGGCTATGTTCAGGGCTACCCCGTACTGGGGTGTGGACTGCGGGAATACACCGACATTGGCCGCTGCTATGAGCTAGCGATGTTGCTGATGCCATCACCATCCCCTCATGCCGCCGACCTTTACGACCTTCACCTGTAGAATCTGAGCCAAGCTTCGTAAAACTCTCATGGGAAGACGTAAATGTATCATATAAACCAGAGCATATTGATATGAGTAAGATCAAGACATCGATAGTTATTCTCAGAAGAGAACAATCACGGCTGAGTTTATGTGAGAACGATATGGCGAGAGCAATAGTCGCTTTTCTCCGCTATATCCGCATGCATTTATCGCTTATCCTATTAACGTTTTTGGGCTGCTACGTAGTAGATCGCTGGAAATAGTCAGGCCATGAACGAATAAGGTACCTAAGGGTAGAAAAGCACACGATGTTTAAATAACGAAGGATTTTAGCAGCTCAGCTCGGCAGCGGTTGCTCCTGATAGCTACTAGCTTAATGGGGCTCTCACGATATACTACGTGGTGTGATATACAGTGTCAAAGTGTTTTTTTTATTGAGAATATTGAGAAATGCCAGTTTTTATTGGAGGTAGGGTATAGTCGCGACTCTTTCGTGGATCATCAGAATCATGACATATCGTAGTCACCGTCCTTCTTTAGTAATAGATACCGAGGGCGAAGGGTAGAAAGAGAGCTCCTCATACATACCACATCGACATCCTACTAGGTAGGTATCTAGTTTAGATTCTATGTTTTGGATACAGTGGTCGACTCCTTCGATCAGCCCTAAGCATAGTGTACATAGCTTGGCCAATGCTTGATTTTAACTTTTGAGCTTTGTCGGAGCAGATCGTCCAGCTAGAGGATGAGTTTTATTCGCTGACGCTTGCACACCCCGCGTCACGATTCGGGAAGGTCAGTAGCGAAAGAGTTATTTATATCGACCGTGGCCCAATCAAGGTCGAGTGATCTTCAGAATTGTGAATGAAACGGGCTGCCCCTTACATATATTAATAAGTAGGTGTACGTATGCTGGTACATAGTATGTAGACAGTAGGATACACCTACTATGCAGGATATATATGTAACGTAGGGCTGCGAGGTGTCTTGTCGGAACTGTGATGAATACCCCAAGAGAAGAGAAGAAGCAAAGATCCAACTCCCTATTTAAGCAACGACCTCACCTTGTGGCTTTCCAATCTTTGTGGCTGGATGGGCTCATCCTTTTCCCCCTTCTTGAGTTTCTTCAACCCCCTGAACTTGTTGCTGCTTCACTTCTCCACTTTCGAATCCTTTCATTTCCGTCATCGTAGACTCCATCACTGGGCCCCAGCGTCCTTTCGATGAGATACGAGGACAACTACCGGAAGTCCACGCGTTTAAGCTTATAACTCTCCATAATAAATAATAGGGTCTTGCCTCCTAGATTGTCAATTGCTTAGGTTAGGTTAATGCATTGCTATCGTTGCGTAGTAGTCGTTCGACTGACTCTACATACGTTTCTCTTTCCTTTATTTTCCCTAGTTATTCAATCTCCGAATATACTTAATTCCTGCTCCCGGCGGGATGATCATATTCTAGAGTTATCGAGTTTCCAAAATAGATATCTAAGAATCTAGATTCTAGTTAGCTTATTCTCTTTGCTAATAATCCAGACTCTACGCACCTCGTGTTAAAAAATAATTCCGTCAATCACGATGTGTGCCCATCGGACGCGCTGCCCGGTTTCTAGCATTAATCCCGTGCCACTATGCTTAAAATCAACCTTTACCTACCCATAACCTACCCGTAGCGTTGCTCCGTCGTCTCGATTTGTCTAATCCGCCGGCACACCACCGACCAGGAACCGCTTGAGACCCTTCGCCTTAATGATAACCCTGTTCTTTTTCTCCCACGCATACATGGCTAGTTCCGTCAATTCGTCCTTATTTTCCAATTCCGGCCGCATGTCGTTCAAGGGTCCAAGTCTCGGTCTTGGACTCCACCGAGATAATTCAAGGGCGTTTTGTATTTTGCGCATTTTAGGGGGAGGGACTATCTGAAGATATACCGTCTCGTGGGTAGGTATGTAGGTAATAGTAATTTCTAGATCTAGATATAAGTTAATAGATTTCCCGGTTCACATCGGGGCCTCTGCTTTTCCCCGTAGCTGCTGCTTGGTCTAATCTTGCCATCTCGCGATAGTAGACCAACATGATGCTTCACTTCTTTCTTCTGTCCGTGTGCGTTTTCGCCTCTTCGGTGTTTGCCGCGTTCGGCTTCACCCAGTCCGGCAGCAACTATGTTATCGATGCTGGTTCGAGCAATCCGTTAATCTTCACGGTGAACGGCGGTAGTTGCGATATTACTTCGATCAAGTATCGTAGCACTGAGCTTGCCGAGGGTAGCACGCAACTATCATCTGGCCTCGGTTCCGCCACCGTCAAGGTCGAATCCGTCACAGCAAGTATGTTATCCGGTCCAAAATATGTATACGCCTTTGAGACTCTTTCTTACTTTCTATATAGGTTCCGTCAATTACGTGAAGGTGACCTGCACCACCTCGACCCTGACGCATTACATGGTGGTTAAGGAGGGAGAAAGCAATATCTACTTGGCAACTTACATCAAGGAAGAACCTTCTGTGGGTGAATTACGCTTCATCGCCCGCCTGAAGTCATCTGTACTGCCTGAAGAGTACCCGTACGGCAAAGTGTCAACCACAGCGGGCAGCTCTTCTACCGTGGAGGGATCCGATGTCTTCGTTGTAGACGGAGAGACACGATCGAAGTTCTACTCCAGCACTCGTTTCATCGACAAGGACGCGCAGTGTGTATACGGTGGTTCCGATGTCATCCACGTATGCGTATTGGCGCCGCACCCCGAATCGTCATCCGGCGGTCCATTCTTCCGGGATATCGAATCGAACAATGCCGGAGATGCTACTAACCTCTACTGGTATATGAACAGCAATCATGTCCAGACCGAAGCTTACCGAACCAACGTCCTGCACGGACCTTACATCTTGACCTTTTCGCGGTCCGGAGTCCCCAAACTTCGCGAGGCCGACACTTCCTTCTTCTCGGGACTCAGCATCACCGGCTACGTCGCCGAATCTGGCCGTGGTTACGTCTCCGGCACCGCTTCCGGCGTTGCAAGCAGCTTCCAGATCGTCGTGCACTGGTACAACTCCGCAGCTCAATATTGGACTATCGCTTCGTCCAACGGTGCTTTCACGTCTCCCGCGATGAAGCCCGGCACCTACACGATGGTGTTATATCAGGGCGAGTATAAGGTTGCCACCGCAACTGGCGTCTCCGTCAGCGCCGGCAAGACCACGTCGAAGAATATTGCTAGCACCGAGACAACGCGTAATTCGCTCTGGAAGATCGGAGAGTACGATGGCCAACCCACCGGATTCCTCAATGCGGACAAGTTCCTCCGAATGCACCCTTCCGACAGCCGTATGACAGCTTGGCAGCCGGTTACTTACACCGTCGGTTCCTCGTCTCTCGATCAGTTCCCCATGGCACTCTTCCAGACTGTGAACAACCCCGTGACTATCAAATTCAACCTAGCGTCTGCTCCTGGAGCTGCTACTCTCCGGATCGCAACCACTTTATCATTCAGCGGAGCTCGCCCGCAAGCTAAGGTTAACTCATGGACCGCGGCAGCGCCGGCGTCACCGACGAAGATTGATAGTCGAGGAGTAACTCGCGGAGCGTATCGTGGCCTAGGCGAAGTCTACGATGTCAGCATCCCTTCAGGGACTCTCGTTGCGGGTGACAATACCATTACGATCACATCCATCTCAGGCAGCAGCGGCACTACCTTTTTGAACCCTAACTTTGTAAGAATTATCCATCGATTTCTATTGTTATTGTATCTGAACTAATATGACTGTTTATAGATCTTTGACGCCGTTGAGCTCTTCACATGAGCCCCTTAGCAACTGCAAAGACTGTAGTACTATTAATAAATAAATATATATTGATCACACAAACTACGTTCTTGCTTTTAAATAATTGATGTAACACTCTGAAGTTCAATAAGTGAAGTATAACCCCTTGGTACGCGGACTAAATACCTTTAATGACATAAATTCAATCCATTCTTGACTATCTCATCAGTACACGAGCTTTAACCCTCGTCTTTTTCTATGATATATGACCAAGCTAAAGCAGATAGAGCTATAGCTACCAGGTATAACCACCACACAAGCCCAATAACTCCCTCCTCGACGCCCATGGCAAACACGTAACCACCTACGGCGGGCCCAATAGCGCGTGCCAGGCTCGCCAGCATATTACCAGCTCCGTGTATAGTCCCCAGGACCGTCTTCGAGGGCGCGGATTCGGTTAAGAGAATTACAGTACTGGGAATAGCCATAGTACGCGCCATAATCTGGGCACACACAACGAGCCCTAAGAAGACCCAGCGAGCTCCGTCTTCTCCGGTACCCGCTAGGAGCGACAGGTACGGTGCCGCGGCGTACGTAACCGGGAACAAAAACAGCGCTATTCGAAAGACGCCGCGGGTACCGATGCGCGCCTGCAGCCGTGGATATATAAAGAGCTGCAGGAGGATACCGCCGACGCCGAATATCGAGAGCCATATGCCGATGGTAGATGAGCGTAACCCTAGGCCACCTGAAAAGGCGAAAAACGTAGCCTCGCTGTTGTCGGCCGGAGGACTACTTAGGTAGACGGGGAAGATGTGCATGAAGGCTGAGTTGTGTAGCGGGAGCAGTCCGAACGAGACCAATGCGCATACCACTCTACGCGTCCAAATACTCCAGAAAGGAATATTCTTACGTCCAATAGGTGTCGTCGTCGTCGGTAGAGGCTTCTCGAGGTCTTGCTGGGTTTGCCCTAGGAAATTATCCTCACTGCTGTCTATCCTCACGTATTCCTGTCGCTCCCCCTTTCGCCGTAAACGCCTAACCCAACGCATAATAGCCGCTCCGATCTTGAGCCCAATATCGCTCTGGTCCTCCTTACCGGGAAGCGTTTCCTTTAGACCACCCACGGCTAAAACCAGAGACGCAGCTAATATGGCGGCGTTCAAGAGCGCAGGTAACGCATACGGATATTCGAGGGCCCAAGCCACGCCGTCCGGATTCCGACTCGTATTCAAGGCCCCGTCCGGCCCAAACAGCCACGCCAGGTTAACAACGGGTTCCGCCAGACTCCCTCCCAGGGCCAGACTAGCTACCATGCCGGCATTGAACACCAGAGGCAGCAAGAGAAAAGCCTTGGTCTGATACTTGCGCTCGCGCACAACTTCCGCCGTCACGGTGCGCATGATGCCAACGTTCCCATTCGCAAGACCCGCCAGTATCCTCCAGAACAGCAGAGCCCCAAACGACCGCGAGAACCCGAACCCCGCGTTCGCCAGCACGGACACCGCCAGCCCGCCTACAATCGACAGCCGCCGCCCGTGCTTATCCGACAGCCGGCCCCACGGCAGACTCACGAGGAACTGCGCCAGCGGAAACGCGGCTACTAGCAACCCCGAGAACTCAGATATACGTGCTGCTGCCGCTGCCGCATCGGCGGTTTCCTGCGGTTGGTCGTCGTTGTCGTCGCCGGAAGGCGTTGTAGTAGGGGGGAGGACGGAGCGTACGAGGTAGAATATATACGGGAGTAGGCAGACGTTGGAGAGCGGCTCGGAGAGACGGCAGAGGGAGAGGATGAATAGTTGGTCTTTATTAGGTAGATCTCGCCATCGGATTTCCGTCGGCTTCGGCGGTACGGTTTCCTCTATGTTCGCTTGCTGGCCCCTGATATTTTCGCGGGCTGTGTGTGCGGCTATTCGGATTTCGGAATCGAGGTCTTGTGTTTTGTGGTATAATTAGCTTTTGTTATTATATATTTTCTTTAGAGATACCGTAACTTAGGTAGGTATCTTTCTCTTCCGTCGAGTACTTACCATTTCCCGTGGAGAGTAAGCTCTCGGTTGCTTGCATATCCCGACCCATCTTGACGTTTGGAGGGCTTGGATGGTACGAAACCACTCAGCTCTAACACAATTATTGTTTGTCCGGTTTTATAAACATCGCTACTTCTGTCTTAAAGAGGATAGGTCCTTCGATTTTACTCTTAGCCCGGTGTGTTTAGAAGGAACAGGAGGAATCAAAATTGTATTACATGAGCTATTCGACTCTCATCTCTAGGATCTAGAGTCTAAGTAGGATAGGAGGTACACATACAAATGTCCCCGGCAGCACAACATGCTACAATTCTTCTCTTATATCCATTGCCCGCGGAAGCTCTCTCCGTCTGAGCTTCTCTTGGGGTAAATGCCCGTCATCTCATCATCTTCATTTATTTATTCTCTTGATAATCCCCCCCAGCCCATACTTTAATTACTACCCAGGCCAGATTCAGCAATCCGAATTAGACATAAGGCTCATCCAGCTCCGAATCGAGGGTTATCTCTCAACGGCAAATATACCCAGCGGCCGGGGTGTTATCAAATGCAATTTATCCGTACCCAATAATACTCGCCGCCCCCTGCGCGCACAACATCCAGGTGCCGAGTTACCACGTCCGCTCGTCTCCTACGCTATATTTGGTGCCGTGCTACGTGCGACTCTTGGCCTGTATTCCTAAACGCCAGTAGATTTTCGGGAAAGGCACCCCGCGCCAGCTATATCATACCATTATAACACCGAACGTAGACGAAATGGTCGAGGTTCGAAATCTAAATGGCAGGCTAATGCGGGGGTGGCACGCAGGTATTTCCTCGACGCGGGAGATATTCCCAGCGCGATGGGTAAGCTGTATGTATGCTCCTCGCGAGACACTGGGTATAGAATAGGCAGCTGAACAAGGTCAGCTTGCTGGCTCGCGGAGGGGGGCGACATCGTACTATAGGTCGCGCTTTGAACTTATTGAGGGTGTGAAGTAGAGAATTTTACACTTTTGGATCTAAATAAGTTGTTGACCCTTCGGCTTTTATATCGTAAGCTAGATAGACGCTTTCTATTTTCTCAGGTTTGGCCATTGTCGCCTTTTCGTCTTACATAGCTCTAGATTTTACTACTCTTCTTGTGCTTTGGATCCTCTACGGCATAAACTTCGCGGAGTGGTGATGGCGCTGGTAACAAAAGCTGATGTTCGGCTTCACTTATTATGCATATTCTTTGCGATTGGCTCGTTCGTCTGGGGCTACAATGTCGGAATCCTCTCATCTGTCCTAGTCCATCCAGGATTCCTTAAGGCGATGGGCCATCTTACACCGTCGCGAAAGGGAGTAATCACAGCTATCTATTACTTGGGAACATGGTATGGTTACGCCTTTAGTTATATTATCTATCCTCTGCCTAGTCTTTAAATATACTAATTAAGGCATAGTGAGTCATTTATACTCTACTACATCTTGAATTGGAAACTATAAACTTCCACGAGCTAAAGGCTACGCTCCCAAGTAAAGCTAACCTGTAGTAGGGCTGAGCTATATATTCATCTCGCACCCTGTCAGCGATCTCTTCGGGAGGCGGTACGCAGCCATGGCGGGTATACTAACCGTCGCCGTCGGTAACGCTTTCGAATCTGGAGCGTCTGGCTCGGGTGCGTACGCTATGATGATAGTCGGCCGAATTATATCTGGTATTGGAGTGGGCATGCTGTCAACTTCAGTGCCCCTATACCAAAGGTGCTTCCCTCTTCTCACTTAGAAGCGGTCGAGGGCTCATGTTGACTTCTCAAATCGCAGCGAGGTTGCTCCAGCAGGGAAACGTGGGAAATATGTCGTGTTAAATCACGTCGGTTTTGTTGCCGGTCTAGCATCGGGTTTCTGGTAAGCATATAAAACTTATTATGTTCGGTCTGGAATGATGTCGCTGAAATTGCGACGACTTATAGGGTTGGATATGGAGCGACGTTTTGGAATACAACAGAGTATGGCATTTACGTATCATGGCGAGTTTCCCTTGCCGTGGTACAGGTCCCCTGTGTCATTTTTGCAGTCGGACTCCCTTTCATCCCTGAAACGTAAGTCATGTAATTCTCTCAAGATATGCCTTTTCCAAGTCCCATCAACGTCGCTAATAAACATGATATGCAGCCCTCGTTGGCTTATTGAGCATGGCCACTATAATAAAGCTCAAAGGTCGCTGCACTGGTTACGAGAAGGTAGCTTTACGGAGGCCGAGGTAGACTCCGAATTGACGCGTATCCGAGAGGACGTGGAAGCGCACCGGGCATCAGGAGAAGCTAATTGGTTGTCCTTATTTCGAGATCGCAATCTGTTCGAGCGGCTATGGCGCGCGTCATTGCTTCAGTTCATGGCACAGATGTGTGGCGCTACCGCTATGAAGTATTATCTTCCAACACTCTTCGCTAAGCTCGGCCTTCCTACGCGCGTTACGCTGCTGGCTGGAGGCATCGAGTCGACCCTGAAAATCGGTATGACAGTTATCGAGATGCTCCTCATCGACCGCCTCGGCCGAAGAGTAACATTGACGGCAGGATGTGTCGCAATGGGTTTTGGCATGTTGGTAAGTTGATATTGATATAATCTATTATAACTCTTATTACATTACCCCTTTCATGGACTATTTGCTGACAGTTATTGATCCAAGATCAACGGAGCGTTAGGCCAAGTATATCCGGATAATACCAATAGAGCCGCTGATGTAGTCTGTATCGTATTCATCTTCATCTATGCTTTGGGCTACAGCATGGGTTTCGGCCCGGCAGCTTGGGTATACGGTTCCGAGGTAAAAAAATTATTCAATGTCTCGAACTAAAATATCGAAATACTAACGTAAAATCAAGATATTCCCTACCTCTGTTCGTGCTCGTGGACTTAATTTCTCTGCGTCGGCCGGAGCTATCGGGTCTATTGTCGTGGCTCAAGTTTGGCCTGTCGGTATCGATACAATTGGCTCCAAGATCTATTTCTTCTTCATGGCAGTCAATATCGTCTGCATTCCAGTAAGCTTTTACCACCCTTACAAAAATGGTCCTTCAGTGCCGTATCCTAATATTTAATTTAGATCATCATCCTCTTCTACCCTGAGACGAAGGGTCGACCGCTAGAGGACATGGACTTGCTATTTAACAAAGCTATTGGAGGAATCGGCGAGGAGGCTGACGAGGTCGACGAGCATTCCGAGCCTGTGCTGCCTAAGAATATCAGCCGTCCATCACAGAGCTAACATCCCGAAGGATAGAGATCAAACGATTGGCGGGCCGTGTCGGATGGATCCAGCACTCCAGTGGAAATATTATATTAAACCAAAGTTATATTATAATAACTCGACGGAGGCTAGTATTAGTTAGACAAGCATAATTCTGCTTAGTAGGTAGGATTAAGGAACCAAAGTACTCGAACTTCTGAATTCATTGATATCTGAAGTACACATCGTTCTGATAGCTGGATCATCACCCTTCAGACCCAAGCTATTCCGAGGACCAGAGGACCAACGAACCAAGAACAGAACATAAAATAAACACCCTATGCCACTGGTATCTACCAAAACGCCCTCCAAATGCTACTCACTAATAACCGTCGTGACCATAATACAAATAGTGATCGGATCACCACAGATGCCTCTCACTCTAGTCCCATTTGAGCCTCGTCTCCGATGCCCCATTGGCCTTGGTCTCTCCCATGTCCCTGAATCTCCAGCTCTAAGGCTGGAGTCAAACTACCTTCATCGTCGTTAGAACGTAAACTAGCGGTCTCGCTTGTGCGCCTAGATCTATGCGTGCCACCTGTATTTCGTCGACGTAGTTGAGGACTGGACAATCTGAATCTGGCAGATTTCGACGAAGTGCTAAGGACAGAAACTGCGTCATCTTCCTCCTTTAATCTATCTTTGGTAGACCCTTGATTTGAAGAGGTGTCTGGGATGGAAGTCGAGAGGACAGACACGGTGTCTATCCTCTCCGAGCTGAGTACCGAAGCGGGGGGTGGTCGAGCCGGCAGTTCGGGTGGCGGGGGAGAAGCCGTCTCGTCCGAAACCTCAACAAGTTCGGCGTCACGATACCATTTTCGTCGACGTGTCCAACGACCCCAACCATCATTACCTCTACGACCGTTCTGCCACTATTTAATTGTAAGCATTACTAAAATCAACCGGTCAAATTCGGCCAAACATAAACTGTACCTTGTTGTCATAGAAGATCCATCCATTTTTGCCGGCATCTGTATCGTAATCTGCTTCGTCCATATCAGGCACACCATCGACTCGCCATTTACTTCCTTCGACCCATCTCCACTTTGAATGCCCGTCATCTACCTCCGGCAACTCAAACTCGTCTCTAGGCGGGACTTGGTTATTGTGCTCGTCCGTCCAAGCCGCTCGTTCGTAAGCGAATAAACTGTTGGTCCAGCCTAACCCTAACCAGCGTCTCTGGTTTTCGTAAATGATAAAAGTGAAGCGTACGCCCGAGTCGTTAGTTCCGGAGCGACTGCTTCGTTTCAAAGCCTCGGTCAGAGCAGATTTTGATATCTTTGTAACTTCGCGTGACTGTTTCACTTTAGTAGTCGTGGTCGCGAGAGTCCCATTCCCATTCCCATCGGCACCTTTAGGTTTTGTCTTAGCTGGCTCTTCAAATTGCAATCCCGTCACCAATCTCGCAAACTTTCGTATAGTAGCACTTCGCCAAAGCAGCGCTCTGGTTACCCGGCAGACCCTCGAGTGCCATGTAAGTACTAAGGTCCCGAATACTAAAACTACCCTTTTCGTTGTTAAGATTCTTAGCGGCGGGAGTGTTAGGATTATCCAAGCGGGCGTAATAGCTAGTATTCGAACAAACAATGCAGTGAGTGCTGGTTTCGTAGTAGCGCTGGTAGCGGTTCGTTGGGTAGATAGGAAATCGGTCATTTCGAGAAGAGGTTCGAGTAGAATAGTACACCTGGTCGTAAAGACCTTGATAGTGTCGACAATCTCATCCAAGGTCTTTTGATGCCTCGTACTAGTAAGCTCGCTCGAATTGCGCTGGTGCGAGCCGCCTGCGCCTCCTCCGGCGGATGCGCTCGATGTTTTCTTTTCCTTATTATTCGTCATACTCGGATGTTCAGCCCAGCCACTACTTGATAATGGACTATATCGCCGCCCGTACATACCCCCTATAAGGCCCATGACCACAACGATAGGGCCGGCGAATCGAACAATGAAGTCGCCATACTGAACGGCTGCCCAGAAAATGGCAAGCAGTATAAAACTCTCCCATGGATCGCCAGTAGTCCAGGTCAATAGGCCTACAAGCTTATTCAGAGGTAAAAGGAAGGGGTGGCTATATGCGAGAGCACGGGTAATCTGAGGCGGCGTGGCGAGCAGCAGAGGAGACTTCTGGTGGACCAGGATAGTCGATCTCCGCTTCGCAGCGGCGGCGGCGGTCGATAGGTTCGGTGTAGAAAAGGAAGCATAGGTGGGAGGGGCGTAGGTAGGAGGAGGGTCGGAAGGGATAGAGGAGCCGTCGACGTCGCCGCGGGAAGTATGTTTCGGGGTCGACATGTGTGTCAGCCAAGGCGTGTCCTATAGCGCAGAAACAAGGCAGAATAGAGGGTCAGCTTTAGTGCGCAATCATATGATTCATATCGAACTGCAAATAGTATGGGGTATATGCGTATAGGTGGATGTTGGAAGAGATAGAAGAAATGGAAGAGCTGGTAGAAGGTCTGGGCGCAAATGCCGAGGCTTATGCACTACATAGGTAGTGTATTGATGACGCCTTCAATAAACATACCTAGACCATAGGTAGGTATGGTATGTAAGAGAGATGGAGGAGGGAGAAGAAGAAAACTTGTAAGAGTAAATAAATCCTGGAAATTATAATTATAGTGGTTGATAAGGGTGCGCGAAAAGATAAATTACATTATTAGGCAGAAGCAGAAAGTGATAAACGTACCAGAGCAGCCATCAAGGGCTGAAGTTGAAGTGGTTTGTGACTGCGCGCGATGCGATGCAGCAGACTATCGATTTTTTTTTTATGTAAAGACCGAAGTACGAAGTAAGATGGAAGTAGTTAACGTTAAAGTAGGTAACCTAACCTTATTAAATTATTACAAGGCTCTTTATTAAATCCGACGACTCAAACTTACTCCTCCGAGAGCTCCTTCTCAACCTTACTTCTATTGTCGTTGCTGCTGCCGCTATCACCGTTTGCTTATGAACTCGACGTCATTCGGCGATGGTGTAACTTCGTCATGTAACGCGGTAATGTACACTCTTATATAATATAGTGCTAGGTAGCTGTTTAAAGTATGATCTACCGCAACGCTACATACAAACAAACAGATCAAATATAGAATACATCGGTGTATATATAGAAAATGAAAGGAATCAGAAATAATCTACATAAGAAAGCTTATTTGAATCTGGCTTGTGATGATTCCGTACCGATGAATGCCTTACAAGACATTGCGAGCCAATAGGTACATAAGATGATGCAGGTTAAAGGTACCTAAACTTTAATATTGCCCATAAAAGTCTTAGTTGCCTACCTAATGTAGCTACCCGAGTCGCAATGCGGGGCAGTAGCCTTAAACTCTCTCTCGCAGCCCTCGGTATTTTCACATGTGATAAGTAATGGAGCTACCCAGGCACATGGGCGGTAATTCTAATACGTAATAAAGAAATTATTACATAGGTAGCTATCCACCCTAGCATTATACTACCTAATATATATATATAACATATACGACCAGCGTAACCAATAATCTAAGAAAAATAGCATTTCGCGAAGTCATCGTAAATAGGTACGGCGAGAAATAAGCAAAATCCCGGTTTCCCTCTCTTAAATTTTATACCCAGGCGACTAGCTTTGCTCCCATTTATATACGGCTAAACTTTCTCCAAGCATCTAACGTCAGGATTCGCGCTTCGAAGCTGTCGTATAAATCCGCGACTCTGAATCTTGCCAGCTAAGAGCTTACTTCCCTTACTCTGGCCGAAAACTAGTTTCCATGATGAACCATCCTTGTTGTTCAATACTATAATGCTATTACCGTGGGATTCCGGGATGATTTCTCGCGAGAAGCTGACTACTTCCATTAAATCAATCGTAACGTCCACCGGACTTCGCCAGGTCGCCATTATCTTTTGATCCCTATCGTGGAAGAGTTTTACACATTCTTCTTCTTCATTCAATCTCTCCCATGATGTTGCCCCATTGCTACATTGCGATAATTCAAAGTCCGCATCGCCTGGGGGCGATGTAGCATCGGAAAAGGGGTTACTGACGGACCGGCTAGATGTAGGAATATTTGCGCCTGTTATTGGGTTGGTAGAGGAAGTAATCATTTCGGGTTTAGGGAGCTGGTATTCCTTATGCTTGCTTGGGTCATCCTCGTCTTCTTCTTTATGCTGTGCTGTCTGGAATGTTTCCTCAGTGGTAGCTTGTCTATTCTCGACCAAATTTTCTCTGTCCACCATCATTTCATCTCCTGCGCTTATATCATCGCGCTCCTTATCGACAATGGCCGCCTGTTTCGAGGTTAAAGCCTCGAGGTTTCCATAAGAATTACATCGAATCTCGTCGCCAGTTCTGGACTTGATATCATCAGACGCTCCGTAGATAAGAGGTGAGATATCCCCGTCCCCATCGGTACCCTCGTTGGTAACATGTGCTTCCTTAGTTCCTTTTAATTCTGGGACAGGTGTTGAAATGAGGTTATTAATGATTTCTGCGAGAGTTGATACGGGCGATGTAATGCGACCGATGTCTTGAGGAGCGCTGGCAGCTCTATCACCCAATGGCAAATCAACTGGCTGATCAGCACGTTGTATTGCATGGGAACCTTGTAGCTTTTTCGTGCTAGATGTATGGCTTTCCTGAGATTCTTGTGGGTTTATAGGACATGAACACGCCCGTCTCTCGAGCTCCGGTGCTGATTCCATTCCTGTAGCCACCGACGTAGGGAGTTGGCTCTCTCCTGACTCTCGCAGTTTTTCAATTGGTTTATTTAATTTGTCGGTATCTTCTATACTCCGCAGGCCGTAAAATGCCCAGGGGCGATCCGACGAACCATTTGGCTTTGTAGCATGCGAAAAAGATTTGTCCCAATCATCTTTTTCGGCGTCGGAAGTATCGTCAACATCAGATCCGGAAGCAGAATAATCCTCATCACCAGGAATTTCTCCCCCCTTCTTTTGCCACTCCTCCACCAGCATCTCCGTATCCTCCGTGGAAATTGACACCGTGTCCGAGTTGGAGCATAGGCTATCCGAATCGTCTTTATCTGCTGACGGATCATGACTCGTAGTAGGATATCTTTCAGGCCCTTCGGGTTCTTCGCGTCCTCTAGGATGGATGATTATTTTAGCTGACTCGTCACCAATCGGGGTGATTGGCGAGATTGACGGGGGCCGTGATGTTGGAGCTAGTTCACCAAATTAGTACAAAGATGATTATTTTGCTGGGATGAATTACTTACGATAAAGGCGAGCCTTTTCCCTTTCCTCCCACGTACTAAAGCCTTCCCTCTCAGCAATCCAGCGGCGCGCAGCATTGAAAGGATGATCTAGTTCGGGTGGCGGCGTGCGTTTATACAGAGGGAATTTGGTCAGATATCGAGCTGGGAGCCACGCCACAGTCTGAGATTCATCGAAGAACATAACGGGAAATTTCCGCGAGTCGACTTTAACGCCGCCATCTTCATATCCTGGCGCCCAACCAACTATCTTGTTTGATTCATAAATATAGCAGTTTGGCGGGGAGGCACTCTTCTTAAGGAGCCCAGTGGTATTGAGCGTAGAGTTCTTCAGACCGCTTCCGTCCTGACTATCCCACCCGAGTATCATAACAGGATAAATTTCATGATCATCTTCCGAGCTACCATTAGACTTCCAGCGGCCATGATAAATATGGAATGTCTTGGGGTTAGTAATTATTTTTTGTGAGTTGGAGGAGTTCCGGCGACTGATCGGTGTGTCTGAATTCTGACGCGCCCGAACTTTTGATTTCTTTGGGGTGACATCCACGCCCGGATTTGCTGTCAATGACGAGGACGATTTTTTCCCTTCCTGGCGCAACCTTTTTTGCGCCTTATCCTTTACCTTATCCTTTTTCTTAGACTGCTTTTCTGGCTTTGCAAGGGGTGGTTTATATCCATTTTTGTAACTTTCCTCTGCAACCTGGTTGTTAAGTTTTACCAGTTCCTCGTTGCAGTCAACCACCAGGTAACCCAGTGTTTTAACAGCCATATCTCTGTTTCTATCGAGGAAGCCATGACCCCGGCCATTTAGATGTCTAGCGGCTCCATGGACAGCATTTTTGGTGAAACGAGCTTCGTGTTTTTCACACTTTAGAATGTACCACATCCGACTACCGCTCGGCCACTCCACAATTGTATCTTTGTGTTTTGCGGTGCCATTCTGGTAGACCTCGTCAAATGTGATCGTTCGAGTTGGTAGGTGAGCATTTTCGTCTAAAGGTGCGCCAGCAAGGGTTTGGTGGAAATTGATACACGTGTCGACGCGGGGTCGCTTAGGGGTGTGTTCTTTCGACGTGGATACCTTACGTTTCTTGGGCTGGACTCGCATTATCAGACGTTTCTCTCCACATATGGTTTCATGCTGGACGGTGCAAGTCAGGGATTCATCGGCCTGGCTTCGACCCTGAGGCTTGGAAGAGATTTGTGGCATATGTTGATGATCTCCCTCCGTGCGATTAGGGTTAGTACTTACGGCTTGAGACTGTGAGATGAAACTGCCTTTAGTATCGACAGTTGCATTCGTATCTCCATTTATAGCTAAAGAAACTCTAAGTTTCTCGTGATAGGCAATCTCATGACGAGCATATTCTGCCTTCTGTTCCTTCTCAATGATCATAGTTCTTTTTTGGTGGCTAGCCTCAATCTGCCGCATGTCATTCTTGAGGCTTTTTTCAGCCATAGGCAAGATTATCTCCCTATACAAGGCCGGTGGCACAGCCGCCTTTAATTTTAGGAGGTCGCGTTCGCTGCTCTCGCGGAGATCTTGCTTCTCTTTTTCAAGTAGATCCTCGTGAAAAGCAAGTTCCTTGGCATGTTTGGCTATCATGCATTTCTTCTCCTCGTCCCATCTTTCATGGATGTCTAGAGATGCTGGAGGATCCATTTGGTGAAAGATGATATGAAGTGTAATTACCACGTAGTTCCAGGGAATGTCAAATAAAGTATTTTAAATCCACCTAAGGCATCCAAGTCAGTAAGTGTGATAGTAAAAGAAAGTACGATGAGAAACATATATGCAGGGAAGGAAAGGGGGAGAGAAAACGCTAACTGGAAGGTGTAGTATATGTAGTATATGAAGACGATAAGTGCTTGTTTATCGTCTATTTTCAGGCCGCTACTTAAGGTCGAGTCTGCATTGTGAGAACAGACGCGCTAAAGCTCTAACACGACCAGTGGATGTTACTTTTAAAAGGGTTATAAAATCATTGGCAAGTAACATTGGAGTCCGCTAACGGAAGCAAGTAGTCGTTCTACTTGATGGACATGAGTTGAAATGAGTTGAAATGGAGATTAATGTGGCAATTGGAGTCCGACGTTAAGAATCGACAGTTGGGGGGGGGGGGGGGGGGGGGGGGGTTTTTTTTTTTTTTTAAAAACCCACCAGGTGGGTTTTTTAACCCGGTTTTTTTTATGGAAAAAATTGTGGAAAATAAAAAAAAAATTAATGGAAACCC